AAAAACAAATTAGAGAAGTGGAAATCACCTGCACTCTGTGGCTTTTGGTGATCATTCTCTAGCATTTCATGAACACTATCGAGAATCGAAATGAAAAATTCATGTGCATCCTGTTGCTCATAACTCGCCAAGTTTCCAGCATGTCGCCACCAACTGCAAAAAAACAAGAGCACATGAGACAAAAAAGCAAAAAGAAACAGAAAAGCTCAGATGCAGAAACAAACCTGTGAAGTAACATTGCAGGGCTATAAGGTTTCCGGTCTCCTCCAGAGAATACAGCGGAGAACAATGCATCAAAATCACAAGCTAAGCATATTTTGTAGGCATCTTGAGCACTGTCAACATGAGCACCACCCTTGCCTCTACCACCTCTCTTGCCCCCTTGGACAGAAGAAGCTAGTCTCAATGGAGTCTTGTGTTGACACAAATCTNGATTGTGCTTATCACTGAGGAAATAGTTTCTCAGAGGAGCAGTGTGAAGCAATGCTTGCAATACCGAGTTCATAAAGCAAGTGCTTCCGAGATTGTTTAAGCCACGAAGTCCCGGTGGAAAATCTGCTGATTCCCCATTAACGAGATTCTCCATTAGCAGACGTTCTTGTAAAGCTGGACTCCATGGCCGATAATCTACTCTCCGTCTTTTCCTTACATTATCAGCGCTCGGAGAGTCTCCGCCTCGTGCCGTCAATGTCTGAGCCATGACCACTGCGGAATCGAAATCGCGGTCGTAGATTTGGTCTCTACACACACAGCAGAAAAGCTCAGCCCGATCGACGTCGACGGATATCTCGTGACCGGGCATTGTCCTGTGCGAATGAGCAGCCGCGTGCGACGACGACGGAGAATGACAAGACACGGCGGCGCAGTTAACACACGCGTAGAGCCGCGGCACGAATGAATCTCCACACTCTCTACATTGAGGAACCTCCGCGGCGTCTCGACGGATCGCGGCGCGTCCTCCTGGCTGCTTGATTTTGAGACAATTTTGAAGCGCGCGAAATGGTTTTGCGCCACCATTGTTAGCTCGGAACTCTAAGAGGTGAGGACAAGGGGAGGGAGACGTGGCTCGCTCTCGATCTTCGTGTAGGTCGGAGCCGGTGGGGCACTGTGGCGGCGACATAAAGGAAACCCTAGATTCCGAGGGCCCAACGGTCATGGATCAGGTTGAGGAAGATCCAACGGCTGCGATTTGTAGAAAATGAGAGTGGATGAAGAAGATAGTGCCACAGTTCAATACTCATTTGCTTCTTTTTCATATAGTTGATGCTTTCGATGTAATATTTGGTTTTTTGATCAAATCTGAACATTATGGTTTCATATCTTTGCAACTAATTACAATTAAGAATTATCTTTGATCAAATTATCTTTTTTTNAAATTCGGTATTCCATAAATTTTAAAATTTACGAGTTTTATACTNAGAATTTTTCTCTCCCAACGTGTTGCTTTAGCCACTGTAATTTAGAGATCTCATNGGAATTGCAGTTTGACCGGCATGCGGTGGCTTCGGCACCGACATCNATCAGTCTTCTTTCTTTTTCTTTTAATTTTTCGGTTATTGTGAAAGTCGAAAACTACATAATTTGGTTAAGACTTTTTAANCGAACTAAAATTTCTAAGATTGAATCACGAAGAACACAAAGACATCCAAAGATGGTTTTATTAAGTTGTTTTAAAAGCTATTGCATAAAGAATACAAGTGTTTTGCTAAAAAAATTGCAGATCCCTTTCTCAAACATGTACATGA